GAAAGGAAAACAGTAACCGTTTACATTAATTCAATAATAACCAATCAAGATATTAATTAGATGGCCACACATACTATAACCAGTTTGTGTAATAATTTTCCAAATTTATTAAATAAACCTACACCATCATAAAAAATATTTTTGTTATAAAAATTAGCATAAATTCTTTAAAATTATTTGACAATATAATTAAATTATCCTGGTTATAGTTCATAATTTATTTTTTTGATAGTTTTACAGTTCTAAATTTATCGTCGACATATGACCAATGTTGAGGGAATTTAATAATTTAATTACACGTTGTTAAGAGGAAATGATACACAAATCACAATAAGGATTGTTTTATGCCAATTTAATTTTGGCAAACCAACACACTTTTTTTTGTTATTTAGGTATAATAATGAATTGAAAAACTCGAAAACGGTTTATGTGTCGCGGAGCAGATAGCAAAAAAAGTTTTGAAACTTAACTTCATCTATCTATGTTATTGCGTTAAAATGTCAAACACTCCACAATCAATGAAAACATCAAAATTGTTTTTTTAGTTGTTTCTACGTCAAATTTCAGACAACAAAACAGAAACGCTTAATTATACACAGTGACTAAGAAAAGTCCAGGCACTTCCTGTTCATCATACTACAAAGATTCGTAACATCCATCCTATTTTCCTAGAACGCTATTCATTAATAACTTCATTAAAATTTCATTGACCTCGTCTTAAGTCAACACGCTACAAACCAAACTCCAGGTGTCTTCGCGAAATATCCAGCATATTTAAAGTCATCCCAGCGACCATTTTCGCGGTTTCTTTCTCGTCTTTTGTTTTTGCACCGGAGGAACACCAACGTAGATAATTGGTCACCATGGAAACACATCGACACCTGCATACGACCTTGGTTTTGTTTATTATGAACCGAAATGGTCACGGTATCGGAAATTCTTGACTAATAACTTAATTTATGGGATATGGGTGAACATTTACGCCTCTGGACCCAAAAAATACTAATACATTGTTTTTTACTAATGATGAGGAATTAAGACAACATCTTCAGACAAAATAAAATGATCTTTATTTTATATGGAATGAGACACTCCCCCTAATGACCAAAAATAATTGAGCCAAATAAAAAAGATTGATTATGAATCTTGAATCCATTATATACAAAATTAGTTACATCTGCCACCAGTAACCAGTAAGTATTCCAGAACTGAGGTTAAATAATTCTCTACAATATAGAGAAAAATATCTTAAAAACTATAGAAAGGTCCATTTATATTCTGAAAAGATAAATATACATTTCTATCGATAATTCTAGTATTATTGGCAATAAGAATCACACACAATGTACAATGTATGCTTGAGAGTTGAGCGAGCAGAAGAAAGCCATAGATGAGTTGCGGCATTAAACAACCTGAAGATCTAATACCCATTAATAATACAACGCCAACGCTATACCGTGCTAGGGACTTCTTAATAACAGATACGTCTTGCAGTTTCCATTCAGACACGGAATGAATCGCTTTTTGGCCCCGCTCTTTAATCCCAAAATGGTGAAAAATAATTTCTTCCAGATTGAAGCTCCATTGAAATTTTCGGGTTCACAGAATATCACACAGAGTTTAAATTTAGTACCAAATTAAATAGTGGTCACCAAGGCTAAACATTTTTAGCATTGTACTGCTGTATTCATAGTTCACTGCATTATCATATTATAACCTAAAAAACAGAAAGTTTCGAAAAAACTAGTATAACCTGAATTCATATTTTAGATTATTAGTTTGATGGAAGTAATTTATTTTGGTTAAACGATTTGACACTGTTTTAATCCATCAAACAAAATTGGTGGTACGGATCTGTTGATGAAGGATTATTGGATGTTCCCGTGGCCATCGTCTTTGCTGAACCTTGCCCGTGAACTAGAACTTGTTCCCGCTTCGACACTTGATGATTTATCTTATTACACTAACACAGATATTACCAATCATACTATGACTTAATGTACTCGTGTGCTATTATACTGTTTATGTTGCCCTTAACAGCGATTTATAACCTTTCGGGATCTGTTAAAATTGTTTATCGCATATTTTTTGCAACAGTACAAGTACTGTGAAAGTTTAAGATACAGATTAACTTGTTCCTCCACAAGTATCGATAAATTTCATTCCCTCTTAAAATTATTAATTTTACTTACAAACGTCCATCCAGTTTTACGGTACAAACATTTACACATACGAACATGCGAAGTAGGCTAGCTTAAATCTATTGATTGTTTTTTATGGTTGGAATTAAAGTAGGTGATCGGGGAGAATAAAGTTTAGTTAATCAATCGTCTCTCTGTTGCGTGATCGGTGAATGTCTCGGGCTAAATTTATGTTCCGGACCCATGGAGATGTCTTAACTGCCCCCCAGGAAGCAGCTTCCATTTGGGTGGTCTTAGAAAATGCTGCAAACGTTATCAACATTATGCAAGTCCGCTTATAAGAACCCTCCTTGTACGCTTTATAATTATCACTCAGTTTGTCAACAGTTTAACGTATGTTATGGACCCGATCGGCCTCGAAGTACAAAGTCTGTTCCAATGGCGAACCAAAGATTTAAAAAATGTCTTAATATAAATATTGGACAATTACTAGCCTAGTACTAGTATTAGTGATTGGACCTCACCTTCTAAAATTGACTTAATGACACTTAAAAATACAATGTATGTCATTCGGCCCAGAAGGTATTTTTGTGCTTTGTTAAATTCAAACTTTGAGCTTAGCACAAAGACACAAACAAAAATAACGAAAAGCTATGAAATTAGAGTGACTTCTAGAATGTCAAAGAGCGGGAGCAAAAACTGCGAAATTCTTCAAAGAACAAAGCCATAAAAGATATCGGACAAACCACCTGAAGAATGTCTAAAAAGGCGACAAAACATTCAGGCATGCAAATGTATGCAAATAAAGCAAATTTATTTAAAACCAATTAAACAAAAACAAATTAGCATTTGCATTAAAATTCAAAGCCCGCGAGTGTGGAAATTAGCAACAGCCGATTATTACAGCTTTATGATGTCCAAACATTCTTTTTTTGCCTTGGCGAAATTTTCTGCGCTCAACTTTTTTTCCTTTTAATTATCATCGAGCGCTCTCTTTTTTTTGTTATTTATAAACCGATACATTAAAATTTATGGCTAATTTGATATCTTTCGGTTAATACCGTTAAATTAACGTCCGAATTTAATTTATGAGAACCGATTCGCGAACTGAAGTATTTATTTATGTTATACCAATAAAGTTTTATATCATCTGTTTCAGATGCGAGTGGCGATTTAAGAGGAAATCGACGGACAAATGGACTTGATACCATAAAGATTACAAATTAATACTCGCCAGCTCATCTTATGCTTTTAAAGCGCTATTAAACCTACCTTTCATTTCTTATTATTTATCTTATAGATAATTATATGAAGAATAGAAAGTTATAAAATAAAAACCAAATTAATTCGCAATTGCAACTCTCCTCGTTGGTTATGTTTTTCCCTCGCCCATAGAGGTGTCGTTGCAGATCCTGCCACGCGTACCAACAGAACCAATCATGGTGTTGCTGTCGCAGTAGTCCGGGGTTTCCTTAGAGTAAACCAGATCTTGTTTAAACGGGTTTTTAATGGACGACCCTTCAGGCATAAAGCTAACTTTATCTGCTCCATCGAAACCTTCTTTGAGTTTGTTACTGATTTCTCTGAAAGAAGGCATTTTTTGCCAGCAAGTTCTTAGAATGTAAGAAATGTACCATGGCGTTCTTATTTCAAAAGATCCTGCTGTCATTTTTTGACGTACGTATTCTACAAATATTGTCATTTTATAATGGAGAGATAGACAAGTGCTCAAGAATCCAGATAATTCAAATCTATTATCAAAATAACCATTTCCCGCAAATTTTATGATATTCATCATCGACCAACAGAAGCCACCATTCGACGAATTGTGACAACATTTGAGACAACCGGCTCTGTTACGAATCTCCCAACACCTGTGCGTCGTCGTAATGCCCGGTCTATTGAGAATGTTGCTGCTGTTAGAGAAAGTGTGCATGAGAATCCTAAACTCCTAAACTTTCAATTCCCCGACGTTCGCAAGAACTGGGCCTTCCTCAGTCCTCAGTTTGGCGAATCTTGCCCAAAGACTTAAGATTACACCCCTATAAGATCCAGTCGACCCAAGAGCTCAAGCCTAACGATCTCTTGCGTCGATGTTTTGCTAATTGGGCCACAAAATCATTTTTAGCGATGAGGCTCATTTTTGGATAGTTCGTTAATAACTAGAACTGTGGGATTTGAGGTGAAGCAAACCCACGAGATCGAAGAGGAAAGATTACTGTCGTGTGGATTTTGGTCTGATGGTCAACGGAGAAAGGTACCGAACGATGATACAGGATTTCTTTTGGCCTCGATTGGGGATATGGATCTGAAAAACATGTTTTTCAAGAGGATGTCGCCACTTGTCATACAGCACGTGAAACACTGGACAATAGCAGACAAATTTCCTGGGTTTGTAATTTCACGTAACGGCGATATCAATTGGCCAGCGAGATCAGGTGATCTTACTGCTTTGGATTATTTTCTATGGGGGTGTGTAAAGAGTCTGGTGTATGCAATTAAGCCTCGAACTATGGAGCACTCAGAGACAATATCCAAAACGTCATTGGCGAAATACAAAATCTCTCTTTAATCCAAAAGTAAAACAAAGTCGTTTTTGCACCTTGTTCAATTCCACTTCAAAGATCTATCACTTTTATTGAAAAACCCTTTAAATAAACTAAAATGAAAATGCTGAAAATATTTAAAAATGTGGAAAACCATAAAAATTATAGGTACTAAATATTACCAAGCATTAAAATATAATGAAATGTCTCCCAAAAATAATGGTAAACCATCCAAAATGATATCATACCATAAATGATGAAATACCTACCTTGATATAAATCGCTTGAATATTTCAAGAAATAAAACCCATCATAATATATACAAATTTTATTATTAGTAAAGATACAATCTCCTTCAAGTACGCCTCCAAAAATATCGCAACAGCTATATACAAACATTATTTTACAATGTCTCTCTATCAAATTAATACAGTTAAATCACAAACAAGTACTAACCCTGTTAGTGTTCAGACACTTTCCGCACTTAACCTCACAGCACCAAATGAACTCGCAATTGCAGCTCTCCTCTTTGGTTATGTTCTCCCATCGATAGCCGCGGTTGCAGCAAAGGATGCCGCATCCCTCCTCGCCCATGGAGGTGTCGTTGCAGATCCTGCCACGCGTACCAACGGAACCAATCGTGGTGTTGCTGTCGCAGTAGTCCGGGGTTTCCTCAGAGTACACCAGATCTTGCTTGGAAGGGTTCTTGATGGTCGACCCTTCGGGCATGAAGCTTTTACCGTCGTTTCCCGCGATTACTTTGGCTGCCCCATCGAAGCGTTCTTTGAGTTTGTTTCCGATTTCCCTGAACGGAGGCATCTTTTGCCAGCAAGTTTTAAGGTTGCAAGACCCAGACAATCCGTGGCACTTGCATTCTGTGCGCATCATGCTTTTTATGGCCTGCAACAAACAGAAGTCATTGTTATTATAAAATTGTAAATTCATCGCTCTAGACGGGTGAAATTATCGTTATTTTCAAAGTTATGGCCGTTCGAAAAGGCCGTTCTCCCTTGTTGTTTTTACGGATTCACAAATGAAAACATAAAACCGAAGTGGTGTTATTTTCGAAAATAATAGCTTTCGACGATAATTACAGTACTTAAATCGCACAAGGGCTTTAAGAATACGTTTCATTTGCTAATGTATTATTAAGATGAAGAGTTTAATTTTACATTTTCGCTATACTAAACCTTCCATCATTTTAAAATTGTTTGAACACGTTTGCAAATATCGTAATGGCTAACTCAACTAAGCTAAAGTTTATATTATGGTATAAATTCTTTTATTCATATTTTTTTCGCTATAAAAATTATAAATTTTAAAATGTTGGTAATTTAAATGCAAGGGACACAAATGACAAATCATAAAAATACCTAGAATATTAATAGCTACCAAGTAGATTCTTTCTTATGGTTAATTAATTATATACAATTTTATATAAATTTTATTGATTTTAGAGGATTTCACAAGAATGCTTTTAAATTTATGTTTATTTAGATTAAACGATTATAACCCTCTTATCATTAAAAAATTAATAAACGATTTTATGGTTTAACCAATATTGACCAAGATTAAAGAACACTTAAACAGAACTGTACTAAAAAAATCCCAACTATGATAAATAATCAATAATAAATAACATAGGTCTACAATTTAAGAGTTCAAATCCGACTTTAGAATTGCTCCATCAGGTTTTTCAGAAATTATAGCTCAAAAGTAAAAAAAAATTGTTACATCAAGAATTAAAAACTTAAACAGTTTAAATATAAGTTTAATTCGGTCCTGCGTTAATATTAAGTACACACAGTGCATATTTCTAAAGTCAAAGTTGTAAAGCAGCAATTAAGAGCAGTAATTTATAATATTAATTAAATAAGGTATGTGCAGGGCATTTTGTAGGTATTTTTGTTTGTTTTATGCTTTAGACAACAAACTTTTACTAGGGTCAACAAGTTTTTTGAGTCTGGTATTTTTAATTGCATTATTTTAAGAAATACACCTGTCCAATTGCCTCCAATAAGCTGTTATTTAGCACTAGTAGACTTATTTGTATGATAATTCTAATTCGATTTGTCAAGAGAAATCTTTTATATAATATATATAAATTATATTCTATAATATGAACTTACCAATCGTCCTGCAATATAATTGTGCAGCTTCACCAAAGTTTTCATATCACCCCTCTGTTTATTCTTTACTGGAAAGTCCAAAAAATCTTTCGATTTTTTGATGCCATATTCCACATTCTCCCCCTTGCATCCTTCCCATTGAAAGTTCCCCTCGGGTAGCTGCGGATTTTTTACTTTCTTCTTGATTTTTACGTTTTTTAACTTCTTGTTGCACCAACATCCCAAAAGTTCTCCTGTTGAACAGGCTCTGGTCACTTGATAGGCGATACCAGCAGCTAGAATAGCGTTGACGAAACCTGTCTCCCTAGTATCTGAAACAAAGAAAATAACAAGTTGCAAAATACACTTTTTTTAATAATACTATCAACATGGATTTAGATAGTTTAAAGACATGTTAACAAATATATATTTTCTTTTATCAATCTATGTATCTGCTTACAAGGTAGCTAGATATCACCCTGTATTTGACCGTAACAATAAATCAATAAAAAACATCGAGAGGAAGGAATACCAAGTGACCAACTGAACGTAGAGATTTGGAGATGTCAGACGATAGAGGAGATTGATAAAAAATGAAATTCCACGGTAAGGGCCAATGTTTACAGATTTGGAAATGAACGACGATCAGGTATGCGACTGCTCGCCATAAATTCACTCGGTCAGCGGGCCTCTGTGTATATCTACTTTGCTGATGGAGTGGATGCACTCTTATCCACTGTCGCTGAGAGATCCCTTTGTTTTTAAAACTCGTCACCAAGGAATTTCGAGCGGGATATTTCACGGTTAAATTGGAACAAATGCTTGAATTAGTTTTAGTTGACACACTGTTAAATAATTTATGAATATTCAATTATTACTATACACTTTAACTTAACCATGTCTGCTTTCTTCGTGGAAATATCTAAATAAATTTTCAACTTAAAAACAAATTAAATGGAACTACTATAAATCACAGAAAGGCATAAAAAATACCCAACTTTTTGCAGTAATAATGTAAAGTTAGTTCTATTTTTCGCCATTTCAAGTATACCAGTGTGTCAAGTTTGCGTAAATTTATGTTGATGTTTTCTAAGTAAAGACCAGTCCACCATATAGAACCGTCGGTGATCTGGATTTAAATAGCTTAGTGCCTTAAAGAGAAAAAAACGTACGTACGGATGATGATTTAGGGAAGAATTTTTTTTAGTCTCAAAACCATAACGAACCGAGAACCGTGGAGTTATCGGAATTCAAGTGAACTATGTTGTGTGAGAAAAATGCGTATCGTATATGGGAAATTCCATGTGGACGTTTTTTAATTAAATTGATTTTTAAACGAAGAGATTTGTTTATCAATGGTTTTATGAAGAACTGTAATTAATCTCTAATAATTTGATATCCAAAACACTAAAAATCTTCATGGAATCTCTTACATGTGTACATGTAAGTCCAGAGCAGCGCATATAATCTAAACGATAAATCTATGTGCAATTTATTAACGGTCCGGCTGATTTATGACGTGATGTATACGTTATATAAATCGCACTTATTTGTGATCCTTTTAATTCGATTATAGCGATGATAACGGCCGTCCGAACGTAATTGTCATTCGAGACTTACCTTGTAAGATACTTATCATCGCATATCTGCAGCTAGAGCACATTTACAATTATTATTTAAACTGGCAAGAACTAGTGCTCGCAGATACTATCGCTGCCGTTCAAATCGTTACCCACGACACCTACGAATGATTATTTTATGTTTTTGTATGCATTGCCTTATTTGATACAGAAAAAAACTTATATCGGTGTAATCATTTAAAAAAAATATTATTCTCTTGTTGAACAGAAAAGTTCGACAAGGCTGTAGGATCTCACCCTTACTCTTCCCAATAATTATGGATTGGGTTATGGAAAGAACAGAAGATCAGAGAACTGAAATCTTATGGGAAGTCTTTAAAACGTTGGATGATATTTGCATCCTGTCAACAAAACAAATATATTTTTGGTCTTAAAATTACTACAAAAAAGACAAAACTGCTAACAAATAACGAAACAGAAGTAATGGGCATTGAAGAAACAAAAGAAGTAAAGAAGTTTTGATATTCGGGAAGTAAAATTAGTTTGAAAGGTAAAAGGGAAAAGGATATAGCAAGAAGAATTTTTCTAGCATAGGACTATTTCAAAAATAAAATACTTTATGGTCATTATCATTCCTATCTAGCAAAACCAAAATTAGAATATTAAGAGCAAATGTAAAAAACATTCTAATGTATGGCCCAAAAACATGGTAAATTGTACTTACACAGGAAAATTTCCAAACTTTATTAACAAGTGTCCAAGAGATTTTTGCGGTATATTCTGGCCCAACACATTATTAAAATGAAATTAAAAAATAATAAAAAGTGAAAAAAACAATTGGAAAAAGAAGATGGACACTCACTATAAGATACCAGAAAAAGACTTCTACAATCTTTTTTCCTTAAGCTCCAAAAACAAATTAACAGGTGCCCTTTGCTTCCTAAGGAGTTATAAGAAAAAGAAGGATAAGGTATTTAAAATAATATATACATGGTGTCACCAAATAAATTGTCATCCTTTGGGGGAATGATAGTATACGCCAAAACAAGAAAGTTTTTCCTCTATCATTTTTACATTAAAGCTACTGTTTTTTAATATAAAAATAATGAATTTTTTTTTATAAAACCAGGGAGCCACTGGATGTCACTGACCTATCCTATATATCATCGTTGTTTTTACCTCTAAAAACAATGAAATTATTTATCCAAGCAAAAAAGAAACAGGTATGCGCACAGTGTATTATGTTACATAATGTAATATCAAGCAAACTTTTAAACTTATTCAAAATCGGTTAGTAGGTACACAGTTTAGTGTACCAGAGCGAAGTTGACACATTAGAACAACTCCGCGAACTTGTCACTGAAGCGGCAGATGAAATCCGAAATCATCCGGATATGATAGCAAGAGCGACACATCATAATTTTAACTTTGTGTTGATAATAACGGCGGGATAGTTGAACATTTATTATAATTTTGTGAAACACTTAAAAAAATAGCTACATGAGCATCAATCGCCGTAAAAGTAAAAGGTGAAATTTAACCACGGAAACCTCGTGATACCTAACAATAAAAAGTAAGTATTGCTTTATTCAAAGTACCTAAAAATAGCTGAGTATGCAAAACAAAAATCAATTATTAACAAAGTAATCAATGATAACACAAATGTAAATTTTTAATGAATGAAGATTATTGCCCACTGCAGTGCACATGTGCAAGCATATTTCGCGTCAGTTGTCATAGGTTAGGAACAACCAGTGGCGACCCAAAATTTATACTTTACTTATAAAAATGTTAACGATTTTTTTATTATAAAAAGCTGAAACATTGTTTTGAACCTTAATAAAATTACGTGACCCAAATAAGAAATAGGATTTTCTTTTATGAACCAACGAAAATAGTATTTATCTTCTACGAGATCAAGGAATAAAAATCAGGGCTCATAGCCCATATATTAAAAAACAAACATAAATACAACATGCTAAATTATTATTATTATTATTATTATTTTCTTGTTGGTACCTTGAAAAATATTCTATCGCCGAAAAAATAAAACATTCATGCCACAACATGCCGAACTAATTAGATGTAGATGAAATAGTGTGATACTAAAGTAAGTGACATGAGACAGAATTTTTGAATAGTAGTCACTCTGACTGTGGGCCTTCCTTACCTGAAATATATATTTAATTAACGATCAGTAGGTACAACTTTTGTGCGTAAAACACAAATCATCGATAATTAGCAGCTAATTGATGTTGGAAGAGCGACAATGCTTTCAGTAGGCATTTAATAGCCGCTTGTTGTCCGTACAACGTGAATTGAATGACAGATTATTTTGCGGAGTCGGCAGCATTACAAGAGGTGTAAATTAATAGTTGAGCTATGAAATAGAGATGTGACCGGTCGATAAGGTGAGCCGCACGGTACGCCGACCGACAGGCAGGTAGCGGCCAGATAATGCTTCAAGTGGCGTGTCACTAAGCTTTTAAATCTCTTAGTTTTAGCTCCACTGTTAACCACTTTAGATAGCGATAAAAAGGGACGTGCTTCAATATTAACTTCTTCCACTTCGTTTTCGATGATGTAGTGGGATTAGCTGGAGCTAGAGGACGTCGTTATCCCACGAGATACCAATCGAAAATAAACAATGAATGAAGTTAACTTAATAAATTTTGTAGCCATGATTTATTTGTTTTCAAATGTCAAAAAGTGATGTGGAGCATAATCCATTATAAACATTCAATATTCTTAGTTTCTTTAAGAAAATTACTTGACCCATTACTGGTATTATTTAAAAGAGCAAAGGCCACGTCTTCAGACGCTGTGGATCACGTGATGCCCTGCTTAAAATACTTCATTAAGATCAATATGTGCATTTTTCCATGCTTCTTCCGGATACGGCCCGATAGAAAATGTACCTATAGGTACACTATAGCCCATTTCCCCTATTGAGGCCGATAGCAAATAACTCAAGGAAGGATATATGGGGATATCCCTATAGACCCTATAGAGCAACCATAAAACATTTTACAAAATTTTGTTAAAACCTATGGGAGAAAAACTACATTTATGTGTATTTTCCCTATTGAGACCGATATCAAATAAATTAAGGAAGGATATCCCATAAATCCCAACTATGGGTCCTATTCATACCGATACACCTATAGAAACACCATACAATGCGATAAAAAAATCTATTGTTTTAAGCCTCATTCAGAACCTCGTAATTAGTGGAATGAATTAGTGGTTTCAATTAACGTAAAAGTTTGTCTTATGTATATACCCAGTGTTGTTCACAACCAAAAAATTAGTGGTAGTACTTTTCAATTAGTAGAAAAAGTTTGCAAACTTCTAACTAACTTTACATTGGAGCGGCTTTGCGCATGTGCGTCATGTCATGTCAAAAGCAAAAAGTTTGAAGATTTGCCAGTGAAGGTTAAATATTATTGTAATAGTTGTAAAAAATATGATTTTAATATAATTAATATTATTTTAATATAATTAATATTGTTTACCTTTTAGCAAATTCTTTTAATTTTAGGTGTTAATTTTGTGAATGATCGTTATGTGTTAATTATAAGTATGATTGAAACCACTGACATTTTAACCAGGGTGTTCTTACATCTCGCCTCGGTTGGCTTACGTGGCAGTATATAAACTAGGTAGTATTTTGTATTTTGTGTGTGTTTCACTACACCAAGTTGCCCGACACTCATTAGACCCAATGTAGGTCAAAACAGCTGTCTGTCGGTATTTGGAAGTTGGTGGAACGCACTCAACAAAACTCTGGCGAGGTGAAGGTTCAATTCTTATAAACCATTATTTTTAATTTTATTATCCTTACCTCTAAGCATGACTTTTTTGAACCCCTTCCTTGACGCAGTGCAGTTCCATTTCCGATATCTGAACTGGTGCTGACACTCCAATTGTCCCAGCATCAGACCCATTTCGATTTGCTTGCGCAAGGTCGGTTTGTTATTGCAGATATTGTACATCTTCCCCTTTTTGTTCCTCCGACACAAACTGTTCACGTCCATGATGGACTGGTTACTTGCAGCGCTGAAAAAATAAAGAAGAATGCAGTGGAAAATGATTTAAGAGATCTTCCTTTGGTTGGTCCTAATTGTCTTAAATAGGGCCTTAAAAATAAAAACATGTCAAAAAATACCTGATAAATATTTTTATTTAACATGACCAAATTAAAATTACAAAAACATAGTTTAAATTTCATTAAATAGTTGTATTTTTCTTGTTATTTCTATTTATTTTTGATACCAGGAAAAAACCCTGGAACATTAGCTGGTTGCAGAGTTTTTGTGTCTCCTACATCGTATCGGGGTTTGGGCAAAGTTTTATGTACTGGCACAGTATCTCTATCGCAAACTCTGTAACGTGTTGAGTTTACATTGTGGTTCATAGCTTCGGCTATTTTTTTCCTCATAAAATAATCTTGGCCACTTTTAGATGAAAAGCACCTTGTTCCGAGAATAATTTGGATAATTTTTGTTGTTTTACTGACGAAGAATTTATCCATTTTCTAATCTTTAATTTGGTTTATTGACACATACAACTGAGTTGATTAAATTTAATAGTGACACTGACAATTTAATTGTAATAGTCACTTATTGTTGGTAAACTGCTCATGGTACTTTTAACAAAGCAAAAAGGCCATTTCTCTTTGCAATAATAATATAAAAAGTAAAAGATGATAAATAAAGAAAAGAAAGAAGCGCTATCGATAAACTCGATTTAAAAGGCTACCTTGGGAAGCGAGGTGTGAAGTACCTATCGATATTGTGCGGGACTTCCAATCAACGTTCGCGTATGGTCCTCAAGGTGTCTATTGGTCCGCACCAAGTTTCAAAGAGGTTCCGACCGAAATCAAAGAAACGTCCCCGATTTAAATTTTAATGAACAATTTTTTTTATTTGTGCATTACTTAGTTATTAGAGGAGAGTATAAGTGAGTAAATATGCATTTCTTAGTATTTCTGAGTAAATATGGAATAACATTTTGTTTTTTCGACAATAAAGAAATTGTTTAAATAATTAAATACTTTTACTTGTGATAACAAAGTGTCTAGATGAAACAAGTGTGATCATAAATTGCAATGCATCTTTAACTGTTTGTTTAAGAAAAACGCTGCATAAATAGCGATAGGTAACAACTTGCAAAAACTAAAACTAAAAATTAACTTTGTCATTTTATTACATTTGATTTTAAAATACAATAGGCACTATATACATTAGGGTGTCCCTTATTTTTATTTTTTTTACGCATACCCTCTAATTATATTTATTACTTGTTTATATACTCCCAGTAAAAATTTTAGCTCATTCTATAAACGGGAACCCGTGCCGACTTGCATCTAAACCCTCCGTTAGCCAACGTTAGGCGCGCGCGGTATTTTGTAACAAGAAATACTTTAAAAAGAAGATATACTTCATGACTGTATTTTTCTAATGATTTTATAAAATATGATTACTAATTAATATTATTGCTTTTGTTTCTATCATTTGTTTCACTAATTTAGTTGATTTTATCCCTTAAATATATTAATATACTAATTAGTATTACTAAAATATGAAATTTCAGCTTTTTATAAGCATTTCTTTTCTTGATGTCCTCACAAAAATATTTCAGACAGTTCAATAGGTTTTCGGTAGTCATCTCTCACAATATACTCTTTTAGTTATTTAGAGTAAAACCCATTAAGTTTATCAATTTCAGAGTTTACGGCCTATTCACCAGACCCTTCCGGGTAACTAGCCACTCCCTGTGAAAATATACATTTTTATCAAAGTATACTCGTACAAAGTATACACATAAATAAAACTATATTTGAACATTTGTCAATAATTTATAATATAAGGGTCACATAATAACCGCGCGCCTAACGTTGGCTAACGGAGGATTCAGATGCAAGTCGGCACGGGTTCCCGTTTATAGAATGAGCTGAAATTTTTACTGGGAGTATACACGGAAAAAAATAATCGGTAGAGGCTACCGATTGGCAATCGGTAGCAGCTACCGACTGCCAATCGGTAGACTCTACCGAAAAAATCGGTAGACACTACCGAAAAAATCGGTAGTCTCTACCGAAAAAAAATCGGTTCCCTCAACCGATTTTTATCGGTAGTAGCTACCGATTATTTTTCGGTAGAGTCTACCGATTTTTTCGGTAGAGTCTGCCGATTTTTTCGGTAGCCGTAACCGAGAAAATCCGCATCGATGCGCTGTTAGAAAATTTAAAAAAAATATTAATATTTAAAAATATTAACATTTAAAAATAATATTAAACATTATTCAAGTTAATAAAAATTCCTCCTCATTTTTAATATTTTTGTATTTCAAATTTATTTATACCTCAAAAAAAAATACTATTTTCTATTTAATAAAAAGCGAGTATTTAACTTCTCGCTAAAAAAATACAAAAATTTTCAAAAATTGGTAATCGATTTTTTCGGTAGCCTGCACCGAAAAAATTGGTAGACTCTACCGAAAATAATCGGTAGCTGCTACCGATAAAAATCGGTTGAGGGAACCGATTTTTTTTCGGTAGAGACTACCGATTTTATCGGTAGAGTCTACCGATTTTTTCGGTAGAGTCTACCGATTGGCAATCGGTAGCTGCTGCCTATTGCCATTCGGTAGCCTCTACCGATTATTTTTTTCCGTGTATAAACACGTAATAAATATAATTAGAGGGTATGCGTAAAAAAAATAAAAATAAGGGACACCCTAATATACATATATATTATGACACAAGAACGTAAAAAAGAGGATTTAAAAGCGACAACATTGCGAGTTGTTATTTAAAATCTAAAAATGAGATGTAAAAACAAATTATTATATTCTGTGAGACGTATGAAGTCCACTCAGAGCTGTCAGACAGCAGAAAGCTTAAGTCTTTTTTTTAACTTAAGTCATTTTTGTGACTTCAGTCATTTGATTTAAGTCTCTTTTTTTTTGGACGACTTGAGACTTAAGACTTAAGTCATTTTCAAAATGATTTGTATTATTAAGCTTTTTCCACATTTGCGTAAGGACTTAAGTCTTTTTAAAATGACTTAAAACAAAAAAAATTACTTAAGTCTTTTTAAAATGACTTAAGTCTAAAAATGATTTAAATCTTTTTAAAATGACTTAAGTCAAAATAATGATTTAATTCTTTTTAAAATGACAAAATAGGTAAGAATTAAATTCTTAAAAAAATAAATAAATAATGATTTAATAATTTTTAAAATTACTATTTTGATGGTTTGAACGTTGCGTCGAGGTAAAATTGCATGTTAAAAAATTGTTTGGTTACATATAATAAATATGTTGTGAGGTAAACCTCTGAATGCTTTCCGGACTAGCTACAGTGGAAATTAGTAGGTTTTTTTTTTATAAGAAAAACAGTAATTTTGATTTGAAAATGGTTTCGTATATTAAGGTTTAAATGGAAAGTACATAAATAATTAATTAACTACAATAGTTAAGATCTTAATTTGCTCAAACAGAATATCCTTATGTAATAGTCAAACTCGTAGAGTTTGAGCTATTTAGGCGCCAAGTAATCTTTTAAAAGAATTACTAAACTTTATTCTAAATAATACAATACAAATAATTTGGCGAGAAAATAAATATTACACGGAATATTAAAAATTCTATGAATAGATTTTCATATACGTTGAATCATAACATTTATCTATAAAATTAACTAAATAGAAAATTACTAGATCTCTGACCTTAGGACTGATGAATAAAATAACTCGATACGAAGTCTCAATACTGGATGCTCTATCGTCAAACCTTAGTAGTAGAAAATATCATCTAGGCACAAATCATAGTCAAGAATCGTCTATGTTTTTCTATTCCTCCAGTTATCGTACAAATGTAATATCCACAAACTGGTACTAATATGGTACCCAATTTTTTTTTGTCTCTTTTAAGCGAGAGACTGCAAATGGAACTTTTGACACAAAAATCCGATTAAATCGAGTATAATAATCATTTACTCTAATAACTATTAATATTTAACTTCTAAGTTACAAATCCGTAAATTACGCAATAATATATATTCAAACTTACTACTACAATATATATTTAAAAGTTTAACGAAGAAAGTAGTGTCTAGCTCGCTGGTAAAATTAAAAATACTGTGCATATCGAATATTTCAGTGCTTCGCGATGTTGTACAAAAAATTCAGTAAAAACAAAAGTGGAATACGAAAAACCCAGTGCGAATTATTTTATTTATTTCTAAGGATTGACTATAGGCAACCAACAATATCATTTTAGTTTAGTTTTAAATATGATAATTAATAAATTTAATTATTTACTAAAAAAAGTCAATTTTTAACGTTACAATGTTTTCACTAAAAAATCGTTTTATCCACCTAAAATAAGCAATTCATTTAAAAATAGCATATACTTTAATGATAATTAAAAAAATAATATTTGAAAAAGTACCTTTTTTACTGGTTACTTGAAATGGAAAAAATCACTTCAAGAAAGTTCAAATTTGACCTTCTCTACTAAATCAGTTATGAAACTTAAGAAATTTGTTATATGTTTTTAACATAGGTACCTTTATTAGTTTACTAATGAAAAAAAATTTAAATTTACTCAAATATATTAATGTAGATTTTATAGGTTTTGGCCAGCTTTTTGGGCATTTCCAACACTGTGTTCCATACAATACAATAATTGACTAATTAAGTGATCAACTTTTTGTTATGCACCTATTTTAAAAATAAATTTCATTAAAAGTCTTGTCAAAGAGTATCTATTAGATATATACTCTTGTTTTGAATCTCTCAAAATGAGTAAGGTATTTGTTTTTTTTACTTAAATCTTTTTTTTTTCGACTTAAACCTATAAAACGACTTAAATCTAAAAACGACTTAAGTATTTTTAGGGACTTAAGTCCCTAAAAATGACTTAAGTCTTTTTCTAGATTTAAGTCGTTATATATTTGATTTAAGTCATTTTTAATAAGAATTAAGGCTTAAAAAAAAGACTTAAGTCTTTTTGAAAGGCTTAAGACTTAAATCTTTTCTGTTTTAAAGAAAAAATGACTTAAGACTTAAGTCATTTTTATTTCAAGAAAGACTTACGACTTATGACTTAAGTCTTTTTAGAAGTGACTTGTGACAGCTCTGAGTCCACTACAAGGAAAAAAATAATAAAAAAGGTATGGAAACAAAAAATGAAGCAATGCAGTTTTGCCGGATCTTTTAAATGAAAATGACAGATTGATAATTTTGGTTGGACTTTATCGTTTTTACAAAACTAAGCGTGAAAATTAACAAAAATATAAATGGCATAAGTGCATACGATAAAAAATGTTAACATAATTTTTTGTTTAAAACCAGGTAAAGGTAATATGCAATTTTGTATGCATTTTGTTAATTTCAAAGGTTTCACATTATTTTTTTAATGTTTAACAAATTATTTCGTTGAAAAACTACACGTGATTTTAGGCAGCTAATCAAAACATTTCCCACAACAATACGCTTCAACAAGTTTAACTGACTTTAGCGTCCTCAACTTAAATCTGTTATTATTGTTATTCGTATTCCTCATACCTATTTAACGAGTCTGCGAAGTA